TGTAGGATTACAGGAGTTTTAGAAAGAGAGATACTTGTAACCATAGAGCACAAACAAAAACAATATTACCAAACAAAGACCACACATATTAGCCCTTTTCATAGAAAACTATGATAGGTTTTTGTTTTATATTGTACCTAGCTACTATACTCGTATGCATGCAGTGGGGATACTAGCCTCTCCTGCAAGAGACTAGACAGTCTAGTTGGTATAAATTCTCTAATACAAACCTAAAATTGGTATTGATTTAAAAATGGAATGGAAAACTGATTTATGTTCTTCTCATCATTCTTCCTGCATTTTTCTCTGAAACCTCATGACTTCCCTTGATAAAAAGTTTTCTGATGACTTAATTCCTCCATACTCTGCCGGACCACATGGCAGCCTGGCAGGAGAGCAGGGAGGGACCCAGGCTGCCAGCACTGGAGGGATACAGGGAGACGTGTCACGGTGATACAACATGTTCCACTCATTTCTGCCCAAACAATCTGCTCTTGGTCACCACCACTGACAAACCCAGGTGACTAGACATCTTGGCATGGCACCAGATAGCTGTTCTCATGAAGATAGATACCGCATGAACATTGTTTCCACAAGACAGAAGAGGCCCAAATTGGTTGGAGATCATGATTCAATCAAGTGCTAGATGTGGAATCCCCTTTTACCTGACAGCATGACCCTCTCAGCTATTGAGAGGAAAAGGTATTTATTCTCGCCAAAAGCAAAAAGAAATTGCTGAGATGCAAGGAATTACACAACTGCTTCTCAGGCGTCCCCTCAACTGCAAACTCCAAGAAAACTAAGGCCAAATATATCAGCTTTGTACCACCATCAGTTTTCAAAATGCAGATAACCAGTTTGGCCACATGTTGGGTATGGGCAGACTGTGCATTGGGACTTCAATGCAGAGAGGAAACTCAGTGCTGAAGCAGATGGAACAAGTCAATGTCCTGCTTCAGCTTGGCCTTTTAACAGCACCTCACYCTGGCCAAGTGCTCACCTTTCAAAATCCTGATAATCAACACTGTTTAGCCCTCTCTCTCAAGAAAGTGCCACACTAAAAGAAATGCTTATTTTTCTCTTCCCCTTCTCATGCATGCACAACCCCTAAATCAGTAAGACTGCAACTGGCCAAGCCCTGTTCTGCAGGTACTTGTAGCTGTCTTACCACGTGCCTAGTATGACTCAATTCTCAGCATTTGTTAATTTCATTAAAACAGCACCTTTTACCATTCATAGGCCTTTTAAGCCCAAACACTCTAAGCCTGTGATGTTAACCCCAGCTCAGCACCCTCACTTGCCCTCCCTTGTTCTCACCCTTGGCACGACTACCTCTCCACGCAGGCAGGGCTTCCTGCAGACAGGAGCRGCCACGCCAAGCCACGCAGCCTGGGGCTTGTTTCTCTTCTCACCAAGAGGTACAAATAGGAATAGCATCAGGAGGGGTCACTTTCCCTGTTAATCTACAGTGCACTGTACGAAGTTATGATCTGTGCACATCTAAAAGCTGCTGTAGCTGAAGAGTAGATAGTTGAGGTAGAAAAACTACAGCAAGATATGGTTTTCATTATCAAAGCAATCAGTCATCCAGGAAGCAAATAACATGATCAGGGAAGAACATCCATTGCTTTTTTTTTTTCCTCCTTTTTTAAACRTACTAACAATATTAACAAAGACATAATACATTGATGATCTAAGGGATCCCTTTAGGCTCCAAAAAGACCAGCCTGCCTAGGATCCCAGTGCCTTTGAAATCAAGATTTCCACTGACTTCTTAGCAAAGTACAGTATTCTCTTAACTTGTTAAGAAATGGGACTCTTAGGAAATGTAATTTCATTTCCTGGATTTCCTGCAGGCCTCTGTSCATTAGCTTCGCCAAGTCACTGAACTGTGTTTCTCTACAATGCAGGAACAGCCAAGTAATGCCTTGAGCATTGTAGTTTAGGAAATGCAGGATTGAAATCGCCAAACCACTACTACTGAAGAAAAAAATACCTTTCCTAAAGGTATAGTTCCCATACTCTTTCCTAAACTGATTACCTCCTACTTCAATTTAATGGAGTTTTCACTTTCATAGGACTTGTCACTGCTACATGATGCATCTTCTAAAGCTGGAAAGCAGCAGTATAATTGCTATGTAAAATTGTGGCATCCATGCAGCACCACAGCTCACATTTGCCTTGCTTTTCACTTCTCCTTTCTCCTGGTCATCCCAGAAGTAAATCTCTGGTCAAGTTCCAGCATGAAGTCACTTCTCCTGACTTGGTAACCAGAAATCCAGAGGAGCTTTCCCACTCACAGGAGCATGAATCCATTCCCATCTCTGACAGAAACTCCTGACACCTCCCTAGATCCCAATTCTTTTTATCGTATTTAAACAGTAACATACCCACTGCAATACAACAACTGATAGCTTACCTACTTGAACACATTTGTTTTTCATGACAATCTAAATTTGCATCAGGTGATGCTTTGCAGGCTTTTAAATATTATTCGGTTACTACTGTTGAGTCTTCAAATCATACTGTGTTATTTTTCTCTGCATGATGCTTCTGCTCTCCTGTTTAACAACTGCACTTTTCAACCTTACAGTATCAATAGCTTTATGTGGCTTCTTTGTGTGTCACAGCTTCAGTTCATGCTTAGCTTAAGCATCATTTCTATTCCTTTTATATCTTATCGGATCTCTCACAGCACACCATTTTCCCTGCAAGCATTATTGCTTACAATAAATAATATAATGAAAAGTTTTAGCCCTGACCATATATTTATCTTCAGGTATGATGAAAATGCACTAAGCCCTGAGATTTTCTGGCCATTTTTGATACACAAACCTTTCATTACTTCCTGTTAAAGCAGCAGTTTTCAATTGGAAGAGCTGAAGCCCATAAACTGCTTGATTTGTCTTCCACCTCAGGTGGCAGGAATACTGCAGGAATTTGTGGATCCACTGGTCATTAGTAGGCTTTTAATTAAGCTAAAATATAAAAACATAATTGCCTTGTTTTTCCTTCTTCCTATTGCCTAGACTGAGCCACAGAACTGCTTTTTGCCRTGAGCCTCCTGCCTATAAATCCCACCAAAGCAAATGGAGCTATTCAGGAGCTCTGGGAGACTTCTGTACCCTTGCTGGTCAAGAATGGGGCTGAGAAAAGAGGCATCCCAAAGTGTTTTGTTTGTTTGTKTGTGTGTGTGTGCACATGTGACACTAGGAAGAATTCATTGCTTCTGGAGGAGGTAAGAGGCATTTAACAGACAGCATTCCAGCAGAGCAAAACATAGCATGCCCAAATGCAGAAGTCACTCTCTATGGCATAGATATATGAGACAAAAATGGAAAGTAAAACATACTAGAACAGGAAAGCCTGGCTCAAGAACAAGAGTTCTAGCTATATCCACAAGTGATACACAAATGTTTCCAGAAAGCTATGGTAGCTTTCAAAGTAGCTTTTCAAAACCTACTTACTTAATAGCTCTTAAACAAATAGCTCCACCTCCTCCTCCCCTTCCTTTACTTCCTCCCCAGTCACCTCCAGCCTCTGCACTGCTGGGCCTTTTACCTCTGCAACAGGCAGAAGCTGTGGCAGCTCCAACCACCTCTTGACAAGGGCATGTCATTAAATGTGTGTGTTGGTTCTGCATATGCTCAGTGCAAGTACTTTGGCCATGTGAACGAATTACTGACCTGGGCCCAAGCCATGCCCATAGGTCAAGCTGTAGACAGTAATTCTCCACAGAGTGTCCGGGAAACAAACTTCTGATTGCAAAGATTCCTTTGCAGGCTCCCCTTCCTTTTACCAGTCCCGTGGCAGCCTCCTTGGACCTCGCTCACCTGACAGTCATGTTTCCATAATTGTGAATTTTGTCCCACGTGGCTCTTCAGTTCTTCCATTCAGCCTCTGAGGAGATCCTGATTCCATCGACCTCTCAGGCAGACCGCAAGTTCATGTAGAAACCGGCACCCACTAAGAAGGTCTGCCATAGAGACATCTGCTTTTTCCTACATTCAGAAAGATGGGCATCTTTTAGGACCTAACTGGAATACAGGAATGTTTCCAGAAAGCAGCGTGCTCTCTGGCCACAGGGAGAAACTGTACTGCAATAGGCAGCATGATGTACCTGGTTCTGTGCAGCAGTAATCGCAGTGGATGTGACCCGATCAGCTGAGATTCACGCCTAAAGTTAAATATTGTCACTACCTAACAGGGAAAGAAGGTGCTCGGCAAAAGAGTTGTCCTGCTTCCATATTCACAGGTAGGTGAAACACAGCTGCTCTCGGGGGCATCCTGAGCTCTGTGTGCAGCCCTGTGACCCACGCCTGGTTTGTAATACAAATATTTGCACATCAGTGGCTTGCTGCACGTGCAGAAAGGGCTGCCTTCCTCTTAGCTACTGACTTTCATAGCAACACCCCATCCTTTCCAGCTCCTCATCAATAGCTGTTTCAGCATCTTACGAAGCAGCAGAAAGTCGGCTAGCAGACAGAAAAAACTTAATACTTACACAACAGGGGATTGTTACAGGAATACTACTCTGCTATTTGCTTTGCCTATGTCTGAAATGGACAGCTTAAACCAGACACTGCAGCAGATACAAGACAGCTAAAAAAAAAAAGGAAGTTAAACAGAATTTTGGACAAATTTGGAAGGTGAGAAAACAGAGTTAAGAAACATTCATTTGAAAAAAAAAATCTGTATTTCAAGCTTATCTTCCTAAACCCAAAGCACTTTCGTATACTAGAGTTCAGTGGCGCTATACATAAAGGAATCATGTCACTAGTTGTGGAAATGCTGTCTCCTCTCTGGGTAGAGATTAACATACTGGTGCTAACTGCATGGCAATCCTAAAATGTGAATGGGGGCCTTCTAGCAGTGAGTTAGTAGTAGCCCATTTGGGATTTAAAATGGTATTAAAAATAGTCTCCAAAACTGAAGAAAGTTCCATTCTCTGTCTAAATAAAAAAGCATGGGTAACAGTTTGTTTTTTTTAATAAGGAATGTTGTCAGACCTATTTTATTATGAGTATTAGGAGAAGGTGAAAAAAAATCAATATAAGCACTGTACCTAACCTATTTAAACTACAATCACAATGTTATCTGAATGCCTTACAACATTGTTTAAATCCAACAAGTAGACAAGAAAACAATAAATCTATGCAGGGTTTTTTATACATATGGTGAGAAAGTTTGCAAAGTGTTAAAATATACTTTCTGTTCTGTATGTTTTGGTACAAGGAAGTGATGTGTAGAATGCTGTATATTTATGAACAGAACCTTGACTTATACAAGCAAAAACTGTTTTCAAAACACACACTGTAGATCTTAAAATATCATTCTCATATCCCATACAGTTTCTTGTATAAAGTCAAACCCAGCACCTATAAAAGTTCAGCCAGATGATTCTCTTTTGACTCCAGCCCACATTAACTGTGAAGTACCTGACAGTTGCTCATCTGTGATGATCTAATTGTATTCATATGGAAAAATCACATTGCATAGATTTAAACAGGAAGACATGCAATAACAAGACAAGTCACAGTATAGCAAAACCTTGTTTCTTTGGTGAAACAGAAGCAGATATAAAAGTTACAAAGATTTTAGACTTTCATTCACAAAATAACAGACATTCACATTATACACTATACAAGATATAATATAAATAGAGAAAAGTATTATGTGCATTGTTTAGGGCGTGGGGAACAAACCGGCCAACCCAGTGACGTTTTGCCTTGGAAAACACACAAAAATCAGGGTATACTTGCTGGAACGGTCACTGGAGAGATSTTTTCAGGAACTGTAATCTCTGCACCTGGTGAGCTACGGCAAGGTTACTTTATGAGCAACTCTACCTGCTACAAGCTCTTACACGTCRGCAGGGTTTGCAGTTCTTTTCCTTTCCTTTTCAACTTTTGTCATCATTTCCCCACATTAACGAAAAGGCAAAAACCTCCCATCTATGTTTGTATTTGCAACAGTACTTTAAAAGGTGTATCATAGGGAACTTACTGTTCCTTTTTTTTTTTTTTTAACTTTTTTTTTTCCTGTGCCCAAAGGTGTGGAAGGCACTTTACAGAAATAACCATGCACAGTCCTTTCTGTGGAGAGGTTATTTTAAGTGTTACCTTCTATACTTACTGTACACACCCAGGTCAGTCATCAAGATGACCAGGGGGAAAAAAAATCAATAGAAAACTCCTACGTACGCACTTCACCAACTATAATCTATAATCTCTTTGTGCACACACTTCTTTCTAGAAAGCCATGATCCTGATTCTTCTGCAAATCACACAGTTCTCACCCATCTAATTGCAAACAAATGATCCTGTTTAGTAGGAATTTTGTTCTCCAGGGAAACAGTGGTTGAACTGAAAGATTTTTCCAAAAGTGGAGCTCAGGGGCTAATATGGCACTGGTGAGCTTTTTTAATCTTCTTTGCTTGGGTAAAATAACATCCAATAAATTAAATCAGTATGGCTTACTTCATTTATTTATGTACGCTTCACAGCTGCAGCATCCATACACAAACATTCATCACTTTATAAAAAGATTAAAAAATGGTTATATATACAAAATTATTTACTTTTTGATTTTTGCTTGTTTTTACAAAAAAAATCCTCAAAAACTAGGTCTAGCTCCATTTTAGAATGCAGAGACCTGTAATATAGACCTTGTGGTTAATGTTGTGAAAGTCACTTTTTTTTTCCTTTTCTTTTTTCTTTTTTTTTTTTTTTTTTTTCAAAAAGTGGCTGTGGTTGATCAAGTTAATGTATTAGCACTTGAATTTTTACAGGCCCTCCTTGTCATATACAAGTCCTCCATGCAGTCCTTTCTCATGAATGATGAAGCTGGAATGGAGAGCAGAAAAAAGTTCCACATTGCAGTCCCTAGTTCATGCTTCATCCCACTTTATGTGCTATGTCTAAATTTTGCATCACCTTGACACAAACTGTACCTTGGATTGTAAATAGCACAGATCCCATTAAAAAAAAAAAAAAAAGAAGTAATTTGTGTTTATCTTCATCTGGTTATAGCAAATCTCCGTCAATGCAGTTTTTTTCAACCATTTCCAGCCTAGGTGAATGACATAGAAACAATGTCATAAATGACTGAAGACCTCTGAGGCCAGTCTAACCATAAATATGCCTGAAATTAGTGTGAGTTTTCATTTTATATACAGGATTTTAAAAACAACACACAACTGAACAATTAAAATCATCTTATTTACATTTTCATTGGTGCTAAAATTGCGCTGTTTAAATATTGCAGTAGGCTGGTGTACATCATAAAATTGTCCACACTGATGGCATATAGAAAACTAATAGCCCGTATAGGCTGGAAATGGTTTCCTCTCCTCCCCACAAGTAGCCCTCCACTATATATTTTTTTTAATTTTTTATTTGAATTTTCTGATAAACACCATATTTTTGCAAAATGCATTGTGAATACCGGAGTCTGTAGTTTCAAAACAATTTGATAATACTCCTATAAGTGATAGAAAAGGCACAGAAAGTTAGGACTTTGGCTGAAACGGTGGAAATCCCTATTCACCATTTAACATTCAGCGCCTTGAGTCCTGCCACGTCCTGATCCAGCGATGATAGTGTTTTGATGAATTTAATGATGTTCCTTTTCCTGATGAAGAATGTTTATAGTAATATTTCTTAGAGTAAGTCCTTTGGTATGTGGACGCTGCAAAAAGGAGGAGAAGACAAGGAAAATTTTTTAAAATTATATGAATCTAAAAAATGGTTATACAACAGACTAAGGTTCCATTTATTATTTACTATTTAAAGCATTAACAAGTTAGTAGCCAATGTTACAACTATACAGATGGTTTATGGATAGGGAAAGCATTTCCTACACATAGAGCACCTTTGCACTGCTAGTGTTATTAGGAACCTACAGATTTCAGGGACTTTCTAAGAGTGATGTAGATACCATAAAACCTGGAGATAAATATTTTCATTATTTTGGGAGGCCTGATTTGTTTTTAATAGATAAAATGACCAGTATTGCTGTCATCTGGAAAATCAGTTTGCTCTTCTCTTAAAATATGCATTCACTGCTTATTAATTCTTGCATTAATGATTTTCCTGATCAAGCAGTGGCTCCCCTTTAAAGAACTTACGATTCATGCAAGTAATTTTAGGCATATCCCATCTTCCATTCCCTTGACACCGTATAGTTGGAATATGACGCTGGATGAAACCATCTTTGCAGTGATATCTAATGAGTGAGTTGATCTCATAACGGGGTTTCATTTTTCCAAAGGTCTTTGCATTTTCCACAACAGGAGGCTGACCACAGGCAACTAAGAGGAGAAGAAAACAAAATATCAGCTTATGAATACACTTTTGAACATATTGCACTGACCGCTGAATGCTGACTAAGGGAAGTTATCAAATGACTTAAGAAATTTAAGAGGCATGGCCAACAACGACAGGAAGGTCTGTCCTGTTCTGTAGTGCTGTGTTTTTCGTAGACCAAATACAATAATGATGGAAATTCCTGTCAGTGTGGTTAGAATTTCCTTTCTGTTTTGAATTTCTGACAGACTTTTGAACAGAATTGGTTGCCATACAAGGAATATCTTCACTGGAAAGCCGAAGAACCTGATAACCACTGAATTAACTACTATTTWWWWAAAAAAAAAAATCTGATTTGCAAAATTTTAAATGTCTTCTGTAATGACAGAATATGTAAAAGTACTTAAAACTGATGGATCCACCAAGGTAGAGGGAACCTGTTAATAAAATRTAATCAAAAGTGAACAGCAATGAAAGCATAAAATAATTTGGTTTGGATTTTTGCTCTCCCATTCCAAAGAGGCAAGGAATTCCTAAGGAGTCAATGTATATAGCTCCTGGGTACTGCCTGGTTCCATGTACTTATTGGTTCTAACATTGTATAAACCAAATGTGTTCTTCAGGTTCTAGTGATGCCATTAAACTGTATGACATTGGAAAACAAGAAGACAGAGTGTAGCATGATAGGGGAAAGGTATGGCCAGCTGAAGCTGAAAAACTAGACACCAGCGGACTTCTGCCTGTTCCTACTGTCTACCAAAATTTTGTTTCGATGTGGTTCATACAGTACCATTCCAGAAAAGAAGAAGTGAGAATATTTTCATGGTATGCATGAAGAACAGGCCTAGTAGTTACATGGATACCCATGATGTTGAAAACCATGCAGAGAAGGTTGCCTGATTTTAACCAAGAGCTCCAACTGTGTACACTTGTCTGCCTGAACCAAGAACAGATTAGAAAGTGACATAATATTTAGCTACAGATGAAGGGTGATTTTGTTAAGTCAGCTGTGGGTTCATTGTGCCAGTCACCAGGCATCARCTAGAATTTGTCCTTTTAGCTTTGCAAAATTGGATTTTAGAAAAAAAAAAATTACTAAAGCTATTGTTACTACAAAGTTTGTACCTGTTCCTTTCTTGCAGGTATAGGTAAGGTGATAATTGCATGGTACATCATTCCACTGCCCGTTCTCATGCCATATTATAACAACACAGTCTTCTCCAGCAGAAAAGAAGCTGTCTGGTTGGTTTGGTCGCCAGTTCTCATATTGCTGTGGAAAAAAAAGGAGCGAAACCATTATTCTCAGTGTTGGAATATGCTTACAYTCCATTTTACAGAAGTTCACAAAATATTACCTTCAATATAGAACAATCTCAATTGTTTGAYTGAGACAGTTAAGCATAGACTAAACCAAGGCAGATTTATAATATCCTCCCACTCTATTAGGAGATAATCTCAGATGGGGAAAAATGGTCTGAGCCAATTTTTCACTTACTGTAAATTGATGTCAGGTGAACAAAACAGAATGACACAATTCAGACCAAGTAAAATCTGATCCCAAGTGTATCCTACACAGACAGATGGAAATTGAAATGACAGAAAATGCAATAAATATCTCACTATTCTTTTTAGATCTGGTCTACTAAATGGCAAATTATAGACTATCCTGCCAGACTCAAATTATTCCCTGATTTCACTTAAGAAACTCACTCGATGGACTGACTTGCAGAATCAGACCTAAAATAAGAAAAGGTGGTACCAGAATTTGTCCCCAAACTCTTACAGATCAACATTTCCATTAAAAAGGCTTAGGTGGCAGACTGAAGGAATACCACAGCYGTTCAGCTTTAGAAATGATGATCCAAGCTCTGACCTCTTTAGAAAAAAGAGCCAGAGTGCAGACCTTTGGATTTATGGTGCTGTGAATAAAAGCAGACTGTGGCAGACTAGTTGGAGCAGCAGAAGCTGACTGCTGGTATGTGAGAAAGCTTCAAATGGCAGAGTTCTTTATCAGGAAAAATAACTTAGTTCCTCAGTCCTGCTCCTGGAACACACCTGGCATGTCCATTTGGGCAGGCAGAGATTTCAGGTTGCAAACTGGCTATATGAGGCATTTATTTRGCTACATAGCTCTGCATCTACCTAGAGAGATGTGCCTGCGGAGACAAGCTGTGGTGAGGCAGTGTGACCCTGACTGCTGGCAGGCTGTGCAGGGCTCCACACATGGGCTATATCCACCTATATTTCACTGCAGAATACTGGTATTCAAGCATGGCTAAGTTCATCATTGCACAGTGTCATTTTTGGCTGGAAATTAGGGAGGATTCAGTCTGGTTTTTCAATCAGTAATATGAAGGAAAAAAAAAAGCAAAGGGACTGTCAAACTGCTAGAAAATCTATCTGGTAGTCTTTGATAGGGGAGCATATGGTGCATCAGTAGAGGTGGGACAATCTTTATCCCAAACGAAGCAGAGAAACCTAAGATTTACATAACATTATGCATGCAAAGAAAAGTGAGCACAGATTTGGGAAACTATTCTTAGTGATTTTCTTTGAGACTGCTGTTGTGTCACTCCTAGAAGAATTTAACAAAGGATAAAAATAGGTATCTAGAAGTACAGGAATGTACATAGATGCCAGACATTCACCAGTCAGTTAGCCCCTTGTATGGTCAAAATTATGCTGATTTTACAGTGCTTATATTTTAACTCTGTGCCTACTTCTTTTTGGCTAGAGCTGGCCCATGTAAATGCGATAGAAATTTAGCTTTTTGGTTTTTTATTAGTACGAAATAACCACTATTTACTGCCTGTTCAAACAYATTTTAGAAATAATGTTAACAAACTGCATGCAAGTAGCATTTATCTCACAGTGAATCAAGCTAATCAAAAAAGCTGAGTTAAATACTTAACCTTTTCCTTCTGTGTCCCATCTTATCCATCACGGCTTTTAATTATCCAAGCAATTTAACAATCATGCTCTAAAGAAATTTGTTCAGTACTGACTCTCCTACTGGTAGCATCCCATAAAGCACTCCYGCTGCTTTCTATGTGGGACTAGAATAATTTCATCTCACTGTTTCAACACCTAATACTCCTAACCCATAATATGAGCATTAGTCATCTTTACTCAAGTCCAGAATTCAGCATTTCACCTCAGCTGATAAATGAGAGCGTGAGTTTTGCAAGCACAGTAGCAAAATGCTATACAGGTGAGTCAAAGAGGATCTGTGGTTGGGAGGCCTTCTRCAACACCTAGTGCGAAGAAAGAAAAAGAAAGCTCTCCACAAGTGAGGACAGGGAAGAGGGAAGGTTCTGGGGTATCATGTACTACACAATTCAGAGTGCCACAAGACACAAGTGGTTAAAGACACAGGAATGAGACTGGAAAAGCTCACACATCCRGCAAGGTAGAAAGTCACTGCCTGCTCCTCCAAACAGCAATAGCTGTGCACACAGTGATGGTGCTGGCTTGTGAACAGAAATGATTTACATGGGAATGGCTAATATCACTGCCCCAGACATCTGCTCAATCTCCTCCACATGATGCATAGAAGCTCGGATACAGCTTTGCAAAAAGCACATCTCAAAAGCCATTCAACAAATACTGCTGTAGGCTTCCTTCCTGCTGTAGGGAAGTTCATCCGTGTATGTTGCGGAGGCAGGATAAGCAGAGGGAAGTGATACCTCTTTCATATCTCTGAAGGCTCRCTTACWGCCGTAAGTCAGGAGGCATACGTGRCCAGGTATATTGCTCAGATGACAGKCAGTTAGCTTCTTAAAATGAAGCACTCCAGTCACTTTCAACAGTACGACCACACATGTGRACACAAACAAAAATTAAGGAAAGCAGCTGGAAGGTGATAGAAAAGTTCATCCAATAACGTGCTTAAAGAGAAAGGAAAACTTCAGTGCAGCTTGTAGCTGTTTCTTACTGGAATGGCACCAGAGAGCTGATTACTTCCGTAAGGACCTGAGTGTGGCAAGCAAAGACATGCAGTGATGGCCTTTGGGGATGAGAGATGAAGACGCTCAGCAGCTTGCCAGCCGATGGCACACAGATGCCATATGCCCTACATCTTGCCATACCGACTGCAAACTTTTTATTTGYTTCATTGGCAGGTCTGCTGTGTCATGGCAAAGAATCATATCTAGGCTCTGGGCTCTGTGGTTTATACAAGAATGTCTGATATCCTCCAGCATGACATGCTGTTACCTCACATCTGATATCATCATTGCATGGTTTATTTTGGCTGGATAACTCTGCTTTTTCTTGGTTTTAKTGCCAGAATTGCTTAGCAGAGGAAGTTCCAGACTGCTGAATTGCTTTCTTAAGTCTCCACCCAGCTCTTCAGTAGTTATTCAATTCCTTATTTAGCCAGTGATAGGGGGATAAGGATACAAAAAGATTCTCACAGTTTGACTGGTAAGTTGCTAGACAAATACACTAATATTTTGCTTTCTCCTTACGGATGACAKTTTTCGCATGACCATGAGCTTGATTTTTTTTTTTTTACCTAGTGTAAGTCAGGGGTGTTCTCACTATGTCCAGTGAGAAATACATGAAAATAAAATCAGTGGGAAAGAATCAAATCCCATGTGTCACATATTGGATTGCACTGTTTTCCAAGATATTCCCTATAATGTCACACAAAGCATRGTAAGAATGAAGGTTTCCCTCCTTTTGCAATAAAGTATCTAAAATATTCAACTCATACTTCCCTGTTGGAAAATATTGCCCCAAAACCCTGAACAAGATGTCCTTCCTCGAGTGGCTATGTCTGTGGAACATTAACATGATGTGACATTATGGGACATTCTCTCATATGTTACAATGCAAAGCATTTCCAGGATCTACATTTTAGGCCATATTATCTTTAATACAAACATGTCCCATTCTTCTCTAGACATAAAGCATGGCATTGCTGGGCCACAGAGAGCAAAGTTCAAAGCAAGAGTACATGGCGTACACAACTCCAACTCATGTACAGATTGTTGCATCAGACACTTTACAGGACTCAACTTCTGTGAGAACTAGAAACCTATTTTTTTTAATCAAAAATTGAGATTTTCTCAGAGAACTGCTAGAGCTGGCCTTTGAAACAGGATTTTGGTATCCACACATTCACTTAGTTCGCACACCTACCCTGTCTTGCCATGATTTTCAAGCTGGAAACAGGGCTCCCCTGTTGTTCTTTACATCTTTAACTATACTATGTTTAAACAAGTCTTTCTTGCAGTGKTTTTTTTGTTGTTGTTTTGTTTTGTTAAAAGTGAAATCCCCAATTACACATGGGAATTACTAACTTTCTCTGCTAGACAGTATTGAAAATTTCCTGACAGAACAAGGGTGGATGGCCCACTGGTGAAAATCAAAGCTGAGATAGGCTTCCTGCACGACACGAAGAAATACATTTGGCTAACTCATTTCCTAATCTGGAAAATTGTGACAATGCATTTTTCTAGTGCATATAGGAGCATCAAAAGCATATGTATTTATTAAGGTCTTCTTTTATTAAGTTCCTTTTATTAAGCAGCTCTCCACAGTTTTTGGTGGTTTTCCTAGTGTAGGATTGAATTGAGCAATAGGCACAACCTGCCAATTGGGTGACACTCTGACCTTTCTGATTAAGTAAGCCTCAGAAAGCAAGGATTTAAGAGCCACAAAGCCGCTAATTTTATCAGCCAATTGTTATGTTTTGTCATTCAGATGACCACTAATCAAACTGAATGAGCACAGCTTTCCTGTCATGAACATGATCTGACCTTGTGGGAGATTTGTTATTTCTATTTTCAGATAACCAACCTTGTTTTGAGGACTCATATCTTGACTAATGAGTAATCCACTCAGCTCTTTCGGATGTTTGCATATGCCAAGGTGAATCTATGAGTAAGCTGCACCTCAGCTTTGTGACATGCATTTAGAAATATTTGCCATTGCTTTATCTCCGAAGGGCATACCAAGTGGCTGAGATCAATAGCTTGGATTTTGCATTCCAGAACAATCAACAACACTATGTTTAATGAAGCACAACAATATAAACTACCGATGCAAACAAAACTTAACTACTTGACCTCTTTGTTGTGCAGAAGCCAATAATCTTTTGCACATAACTAAAGCTAAGAAATAATTTACTAGAAATACATCTAACGTTTAGGTTTTTAGGGTTCATGCTGCTTTTCCTTGTGGGAAAAGGAAGCATGCTTTCACAGTATGTTTAAATGTGCCTAACTTATTAATCTCTCATGGCATTTTTTGGCCCTTGTATTT